AGAGAGCCTGGGGTTGGAAGAAACAGGAGTTAAGGGCAGGGATGTCCCACCCATCTGTCAGGAGACAGCTCCCAACAAGGTCTCCACCACTAAACTGCACTTGAAACACAACCCGCTGTCAACCACGGCCAGGATGTGCTGAGCTCAAAGACCATCCCAACACTCAAGACCTTCTGCCAAGACCCCTGTTCCCTTCGCCCGGTTGCCAGGACGTACCATGGCTCCTGGTGGACTCCAGCCCCTCCGCAGCAAACACCTGGACCCACCACCCCCGAAGCCCCTGGGTCTTCCCCCAGTCTCACATTTTGTCACGATGCCCTCCACACAGACAATGCAGCTGAGGAAACAGGCCGTCAGCGTCCGCGGCGACACGTGCTTGGAGCCGAAGCTGCCCTCCAGCCCGATGTAGAAGTCCTCGTACTGCTTGGCGTAGGTGGCATCGACGGAGGCGACAAAATCCTTCAGGGCGCGCTGGAAGGCGATCAGCTCCTCAAAGGCGTTGCTCAAGAGCCTGCAACAGAGGGAGGTGACGATGCGGACCGATCAGCAGCCCCTTCTGCCGTCCTCCTCAACGCCTGCCCGTGCCTCCATGTCCTCTGCGAGTTTACTAGGAGCAAGAGGCGAAAAAAACCCCCAAAGCCCATCTGGGTCAGGTCCACTGCCACCAACAGCCAGGAGCTGAACAAACCCAACCACATCTGAAAAAACCTCACATGTCCCTGAGCGGATCGGCAAGCCCGGTCCAAAACAGAAGATGACGTATATCGTGCAATTAACCCCAGCTTGCTGCAAAAGGTTTTTGCCGAATCAAGGGCCTGCAAGCTTGGAAGGGATGGGCGTCATGGTAGGAGAGAGCGGGTCCACCTTTTACACTGGGGACAAGGTTTGGCCCTTCCTTGCCACAAAGGACCGACAAAACCAGGGCTGGACCTCTGAAATCCCGCCCAGGGCGCGGTGCCACAGGCCAGCCCCGCCGCCCCGCACCCACCGGTTGGCCCTCTTCTCGTTCTTCCGCCGCAGGTCGTTGATGCTGACGAGGAGGCGGTACTGGTTGTCGCTGATCATGTCCCGGACTTTGCTGTGGTA